CAGTGAGCTGAGATTGCACCACTGCACTCCTGCCTGGGCAACAGAGTGAGACTTATCTCCCAAAAAATAATTAATAAATAGATAAAGTCTCCTATAAGAAGAACAAAAACTGAATTTATTTACAGGCAGCATGATCTTGTATGTGGAAGACCCTAAAGAATCTACGAGGAAGCTACCAGAACAAGTGAGTTTATCAAGGTTTCAAGGTCAATATATACAAAACAGTTGCCTTTCTTTATACTACCAATACACAATTGGAAATTGAAATTTTAAAAATACTGTTTATAATAGCACCCGAACCTTGAATTAGGTTCGAATTGAGTGATCCAGCTATTCCAGAAAAATATTAATCAATTGGAGTAATCTGAACCAGCTAATGGTTCTTTATTTCATTCCTCAGTCTCACTCTGGGTCTTCTGCATGAGTTATGAAGCATACCTAAAAGGTCTCAAACTACATTCCTCAAGAGAGTTTTCTCAGCATCCCGAAGGCAGTTCAGACTCATTGGATTATGTGAAGGTTATTAAGAAGAGCTTGAAAGAGTTAGACTCAGCATCGTGCTGGCATTATACATAATACAAAAGAAAAATAACTGGTCCTGCCCTTCAGCCAGCTTTACAGTTTTCCAAGAAAACAGATGGAACAAAGAAAGAGCGATGGTAGTGCTAGGAGAAAGTTGGTCCTTGTTTCCCCCCGCGAAAGACGAAAGAAAGAGTCGAGAAAATGGGTGAGGAGGCATAAGACATGGTAAAAAGTTGAGGGCAGAGGTCCAGAGGCAGAGGGCAGTTCCACAAGCGTTATGGGACAGAAACTAGTTGGCAGTGGATCCCTCGCTCCATTTTCTCACATCGGTGTCCCCAAAGTCCTGTCATCGAGGCATCTCTCCCGATGCCACCTACTCCATGAGCACTCGTCTGTTGTCATGACTTCTAGTCCCACCTTCTCCTGGTGACTTTCAAATGTCTCTCTCTAATCCCAGTCTCTCGTTTGCCTTCCAAATGTTTCCAGTTGCCTCCCCAATCTCACACATCTTCCTCATTTACATTATCTCATAGCATCCTTTTGAAAATTTTGTGTGCACCTTTCCCACTAGAATTTAAGCCCCATGAGATCAGAGACCATGATTATTTTCTTGCCAGTTCTTGGCAAAGGCCTCACATACAGTATGTCCTCAAAAATATTTGCAGAATTAGTCAATGATTATGATTGCAGAATGAAACTCACGGTATTCCCCCCATGAAAATGTTAAACCTTTTCTGTTCTCTATTGCAGCTCATAGAAGGACCTGCTAGCCTCACCTATTTAGTCATTCAACTAGAAACTTAAAAGTCATCTGGGTGTCCTTTTTCTCCTTCACCCTCCATATCCACTTAAACATTCTTTATTTTCCTCTAAGTATCATGGATTCATTAGCAAATATTTATTGAAAGCCTATGTGTGAGGCCCCGGGCTGGTGAAACAGAGGCATACCATGTGACCCCTGCCTTTGGCACCTATTAATGTTCATCCCTACAGCCCTTCACCTTCCTTTCCCACCTGGACTTGTCTAATTCCTTCTTCACTCTGTCTCCAGACTTTTTTCCAGTCTCTGCACCCTTTGACTGGAAGGCAGAGAGATAGATACGTCTATTTCACGATTCTGTCTTCTCTGCCCAGCACAGTGCAGTAAATGTTATACTTCCAGATTGAACAGAGGCCTCCCGATTACCTGCAGAATGAAGTTCAGATATTCTAGCATGACATGCTAATTGCTGCTGTAGCAACTTTCACAAACCTAGTGGCTTACAGAAACTGTTCTGTAGGTGGCATGGCCTAAAGTTAAGGTGTGATGCCCCTTTGGAGACTGGGTGGAATCAATTTCCTCACCTTTTCCACTGGCTGGAGACCACCTACATTCCTTGTTCATAGCCCCTTCCTCCATCTAGCAAAGGCCAGTGGAATCCTCATATTGTATCATTCTGAACCCATTTCCATTTTTAAGGACCCCTGTGATTACATTGGGCTTTCCCAGATAATCTATTATCTCCCCATCTTAAGATCAGCTAATAATACTTAACTGACAGGGGAGATACCATGATCACGAAGGTGGTTTTTCCAGGGCGAGGCTTATCCATTGCACTCCACATATGCTGACCCCTGTGATTTCCCTTTTTCTATACTAAATTTTTTAAAAAAAAAAGATCAGCTAATTAATAACCTTAATTTCTTATATAATCTTAATTCTCCTTTACCACATTATATTCACAGATTCCAAGAAGTAGGACATAAGTATCTCTGGGGTGTGGTACACAGTACCTCTCACAATCTGATACATACTAACTTACTTTTTTTTTTTTTTTTTGACACAGAGTTTCCCTCTTGGCACCCAGGCTGGAGTGCAATGGTGTGGTCTTGGCTCACTGCAACCACCGCCTCCCAGGTTCAAGCGATTCTCCTGCCTCATCCTCCCAAGTAGCTGAGATTACAGGCACCTGCCACCACACCCGGCTAATGTTTGCATTTTTAGTAGAGATAGGGTTTCACCATGTTGGCCAGGTTGGTCTTGAACTCCTGACAGGTGATCCACCTGCCTTGGCCTCTCAAAGTGTTTGGATTACAGGTGTGAACCACTGCCCCCGGCTAACTTACCTTCTTAACCTTACTTCCAAGCACTTCTAGGTTGACCACAATCTAGCTATGCTTGTCTCTGTGCTGTTTCCTATGCTTGAAATGCTCCCTTCATGCCCCCATCCCTCCACATCCCGCCCACCTTTTCTTCGTGTCTGCTGCCTTTTAAAGCCTAATTCGGACGGGTGCCATGGCTTATGCCTATAATCCCCGCACTTTGGGAGGCTGAGGTGGGCAGATCGTGAGGTCAGAAGAGCAAGACCATCCTGGCTAACATGGTGAAACCCCAACTCTACTAAAAATATAAAAAATTAGCCAGGCGTGGTGGCAGGCACTTGTCCCAGCTACCCAGGAGGCTGAGGCAGAACTGCTTGAACCCGGGAGGCAAGTGTTGCAGTGAGCCAAGATTGCACCACTGCGCTCCAGCCTGGACAACAGTGCAAGACTCCATCTCAAAAAAAAAAAAAAAAAAAAAAGCCTAATTCACATTGCCTACCTCTGTGAAGCCTCTCCTGTTTTTTTTTTCTTTGTTCCATTATCTGCAAGCACGGAGCATACAGGCCTCTATACTTAAATGAAATAGAAACCATGCCGTAGTGGTAGGAACTCTTGCTTGCACATTTCAGTGTGTTGTCAGATGCATGGGTTAAGTGAGGTTAAGTTGTTAGACTTAATAGGACACTTGGCATGTTTAGGTAATAGAAACAAACTCTAAGGAGTAAGTTGGGTAATGATGAGGTAGAGGAGAAAGAGAATGTTGCCTGTTCTTTGCCTAAATTGAAAGAAAAGGGAAGAGGGCTCAATCAGTTTGAAGAGAAAAGCAAGCTTAAAGATGAACATTAAAGACCAAGATCAAGCAGCCAATATAAACAGACATATTAAGAAAGGGCAAGAGGAAAAGAAAGGAGGAAGGGGAAAGGAAGGAAGAGGAAAGAGGCATGCTTTAAACATTTATACAGATTAGAAACTACAGGGTGACTATAGATCTGGAAATAGGGGCAAATGCTGATGAGTATGGTTCAGTGAGTTAACCCTGTGGTTCCCTAAGGCAGGTTTTTTTTTGTTTGTTTTTTTTGGAGACAGAATCTCACTTTTGTCACCCAGGCTGGAGTGCAGTGATGCAATCTTGGCTCACTGCAGTGTTAATCTCCTGAGCTCAAGCGATCCTCCCAACTCAGCACCCACCAACCCAAGTAACTGGGACTTACAGGCATGTGCCACCATGCCTGGCTAATTTTTTTGTAGAGACACGTGTGTTGCACAGGCTGGTCTCAAACTCCTGAGCTCAAGTGATCCTCCTGCCTCAGCCTCCCAAAGTGCTGGGAGTACAGGCATAAGCCACCGAGCCCAGCCTAGTAAGGCAGTTTAATGCTATGTGCAAAAGTCATAACATGGTGAACTAACACATTCCAATCAATCCCTGAACACGTACCTGTGATTCGTGTCTTAATGTTCACTGACCAAACCTGAAACTTCAGCATACCCCATGAAACAAACTATTTTAAGTATGCTTCCAGGATTTCCAATTTCCAGAAGCAAGTGATTAATATAGAGGTATTAGGTAGGTATATAACAGTTGTCACATCCAAGTTTTGAATTCAGGAACTTTATTTTCTTTTAATCCCCACAGCCAGCTCGTCTTGAGGCATCACAATTTAAAACTGTTGCAGTTCAGTTAAAACCAATGCCATCTAGTGGTGTGTGCGCAGCAAGTCAAATGTCAAGCATAGGTTTTGTAGTAGAAATTATCTTTAGGTCTTGCTAAAAATAATTAAGTTTCAAGTTTGCCTTTTTTAATTGCTAAAAAGGGCAGCTACTAGGACTCAGACTGTATTTTTAGTTCTTCCATCAAAATCTTACAAAGAGCTTCAGTTTGACATTTGACTTGCGGCGCACTTTTTTTTTTTTTTTTTTTTGATACAGAGTTTCACTCTTGTTACCCAGGCTGGAGTGCAATGGGGCAATGTCAGCTGATTGCAACTTCCGCCTCCTGGGTTCAAGCAATTCTCATGCCTCAGCCTCCGGAGTAGCTGGGACTACAGGCATAAGCCACCATGCCCAGCTAATTTTTCTATTTTTAGTAGAGACAGGGTTTCACCATGTTGACCAGGATGGTCTCGATCTCTTGACCTCGTGATCCACCCGCCTTGGCCTCCTAAAGTGCTGGGATTATAGGCGTGAGCCACTGCGCCTGGCGCAAAGTATTTTTTGCAGTTAAATCTGTGCATTACAAAATGTCTCTGGATGGATTCACAAGAAACTGATAATGTTTCTGCCTGCCTTTGGGGAGAGGAGCAAGATTTTTTCACTGTACAGCTATAGAATTCTTATGTATATGACAGTATTAAATTGTTTAAGTATAAATACATGTTACTAAAATTTTTCTTACACAGGTCATGAACGAAAAACTTCAACACTGCATGGAACTAACAGATCTAATGCGGAATCACCTGAATGAGAAGAGGGCACTCCGCTTGGAGTGGATGATTGTCATCCTCATTACCATAGAGGTAAGATGGAAATGCTGTGTACCGTAATGTTACATACTCTTTTCACAAATACAGGGGCTATGCTAGTAAGATAGTTTGAGATAGAAAATTATTAGCAGGAAAGAGGCTTTGTTACCATTACTAATTTGAAGTTTCAAATTTGCAAATGCATTGATAGTAAATTTTGAAAAGGTTCCACTTTTAAAAACTTTAGAGTAGACCTCAAGGTTCTACATTTTTAAAGACAGCATTTGGAAAAAGTTCTAGTTGTAAATTTATAATATACTGCCCAACATCAAATCAAACACCTGTGCCTCCCATTCACAGCCTGCCATGTGAGAAACTCAAGTATTTACCTTATCAGGAGCATTTCTCATTGGAAGTCATTGTAGTTTGTACCCACAATTTGCCTGTCATGAAATTAGTAATTCTCACTTTTTATCCTAAGGTAATGTTTGAGCTGGGACGAGTACTTTTCTGATCAAGTGAAACCAAAGTGTCACTGCAAGAGATGAATTCAAGTTCTACAATCAAAAAATAAATGTTTGGCCAGGTGCAGTAGCTCATGCCTGTAATCCCAGCACTTTGGGAGGACGAGGCAGTTGGATCATTTTAAGTCAGTTCAAGACAAGCCTGGCCAACATGGTGAAACCCCATCTCTACTAAAAAATACAAAAAAAATTAGGCACACCTGTGACCTTAACTACTCAGGAGGCTGAGGCAGAAAAATCTCTTGAACCCGGGAGGAAGAGGTTGGAGTGAGTTGAGATCATGCCACTGCACTCCAGCCTGGGCGACAGAGTGAGACTCAGTCTCAAAAGTAAAAAATAAAATAAATAAATGTTCACTACTAGTTCATCGCTTATTTAATAAGTATTTTTTTAATCAAGAAATTGTTTCAGCCCCCAATATATTGTGTGAATAAAGTAAAGTATAAAGAATCCCGTGTTTGCTTCTTCATCACTGACAATTCAAAAAGGAAAATATTACAGTTAAGAACTTTGGAAAACCTTAGCATCTAGAAATCTTGGTTAATCTTGGCAGATACCTCTTAAAACCAAAGGGCTTAGGTTTTAGACCACAACTTAACCTATCCCCAGGGAATGCTATCATGGCCCTGGCTAAGAGAACCACACAGGAACGCAAGTGTTGACGTCAATATATACAGTAACAAGACAGGCTTCTGATGGCAGAAATGAATCTTAAAGACCTATTTTAGATGGATGATTTGAGTATGGCTGTTCACTGGCACCTTTTCTTCTGTTAATCAATACTTTGTCCCTTCACCAAGTCAGTCACAATATTCTTCCCACAGACGTTTGTTTCACACATATTTTGGGGAAATTTAAAAAAACAAGCACAAAGATTCTAAACATCTAAGTATTTACCTCCTTGTGTTGACACTTTTCTTAAAATCAACTCTTTATCTACATTGCCTTATTTTTATGCATAACCCCTCATGCCCCACTATAGTCCTCGCCCAACTTTTCACGCATATCCTTTCGTTTTGCAACTCACTTAACTGCTACACAGTGTTACACCGAGAATACATTCATCTGTACTAACTGATGGACACATTTATTTGCAGTTAACAGTGCTAAGATAAACATCTGGTATCTTCCAGCAAGAGTTCTTCAGCAGCTGTCTTCCATTTGAAGTACCTGTATGCGAAGGGTACCCAAAAAACCTCTCCAAGGAGAATATAGATTCGCTTTCTAGGATGGGCACAGTGCCTCACGCCTGTAATCCCAGCACTTTGGGAGGCCAGGGTGGGAGCACTGCTTGAGCCCACTGACACACAAAGTAATTTTTTAAAAACTGCTTTCAAGTTCCTCCTGATTTTCATAAAATCAACATACTTGGTACACACCTGCAGTGTATCCTGTTCTTCCCATCTTCCCTTATCACACTTACACAAGAGAGGCGACTCTCACCTATCCTCAATAATTTGGCCCACTATATTCAATAACCCTTAAATACGTTAAACCTATGTTTCAGCCTTTTTGGGAAACGCCACAAAAGGACAATTTGAAAGATTGGTAAATGCAACCTTTAATTGAAGCCATTATGTCTTCTCCCATTTTTTAGGAAGTACAATTCCAGTAAAATTTTACTCCAAGTATCAACGTATACAGTTTGCTGTTCTGATCAACTAATTAGAAACAATGTGAAATAATCCAGGAAACACCATGAACATTTGGTGCCTTATGGTCACAGCATTATTAAACATTTCAAGTTATATAAAAAATTTACAAGAAATGAAAAGATTATCAAAAGAGGTGCATAAACATTTATTAGCATAGTTTTGTAGAGGAAATGTAACACAAATACATTTTCAAGAAGAAAAACATATTTGCATAGTTCACCTAGGTTTAAATGGATTATGGTGGACATTAGCTCAATACACTATTACAATGCACTAAATTACAAAAGGTTTTCTTAGGCCGGGCGCGGTGGCTCAAGCCTGTAATCCCAGCACTTTGGGAGGCCGAGGCGGGTGGATCACGACGAGGTCAAGAGATCGAGACCATCCTGGTCAACATGGTGAAACCCTGTCTCTACTAAAAGTACAAAAAATTAGCTGGGCATGGTGGCGCATACCTGTAATCCCAGCGACTCAGGAGGCTGAGGCAGGAGAATTGCCTGAACCCAGGAGGCGGAGGTTGCGGTGAGCCGAGATCGCGCCATCGCCCCCCAGCCTGGGAAAAAAGGAAAAACCCCTCCCTTCAAAAAAAAAAAAAAAAAAAAAGGTTTTCTTAAAAGTGATAAAACAGCTTATTTTAAAATACCAGTATTTACAGTACACTGGCAATTACATCTTTTTCAACTAATTTTATGATTTAAAACTTCAACTTAAGTTACGAAAGTTTAAAGAATTGTTTTAGTTGTAACATAAGTAAAAACTTGCTTTCAGGCCGGGCACAGTGGCTCATGCCTGTCATCCCAGCACTTTGTGAGGCTGAGGTGTGCAGATCACCTAAGGTCAGGAGTTCAAGACTAGCATGACCAATATGGTGAAACCCTGTCTTTAAAAAACAAAAACAAAAAAAACTTACTTACTTTTACTTAATAAAGTAAAAACGTAAGATCACCACCTCTCTAACAACAAAATAACCAACAAATTACACAGAGTATGTAAAGCCTAAAGTAAGTTCATTCACCACTGGCTCCCAAAGTCCTCAGAGTGGTATCTAATTTCTATCACAGGAGAGCTCACTGATTAAGACCAATATGGATTTGAATTCTTGTTTCACCACTGATTCTTGCCGTTAAAACCTCAGGCAAATCACTCAACCTCTTCGGCCTCACTTTCCTCATCTGTGGAGTAGGTTTAATTAAACTATCTCATAGGTTGCTGTGAGGATTAATGGAATATGTGTGAACAGGAGAGTTTATTATTAACCTATCTCACAGAGTTACTGTGAGGATTAACTCTCAGATGAAATGCAGGCTGAATCAAATTCCCAGGATCCATCTTTGGATCTTTAAGAAACGTCATAGACCAGGTGCAGTGGCTCACGCCTGTAATCCCAGCACTTTGGGAGACTGAGGTGGGTGGATCACGAGGTCAGGAGTTCAAGACCAGCCTGGACAAGATGGTGACACCCGTCTCTACTAAAAATAAAAAAATTAGCCAGGCGTGGTGGTGGGCACCTGTAATCCAGGCTACTCAGGAGGCTGAAGTGAACAGATATTGCACCACTATACTCCAGCCTGGGCAACAGAGCAAGACTCCATCTCAAAAAAGAAACATCCTAACTCAGACTTTGGAATATAAGGGTCAATTTAAATATCATGCAGTATTTTCACTGTATAAAATGGGCTGGCTCCTCGGTGCAAACCCACAAAGGCTTTTTTAAACTACACATTTCTGCATATACCAGACAGCAGCGGCCAGCAGTTTTTCTGGGGTGCCTTCTTGGATAACCACAGCAGTCAGAAGCGGACTTTTTTTTTAATACATAAAATCAGTATCTTTCTAGCTGTATCATCTTAAAAACAAACTATATTTGTCTATTTTAAATAACTGTCCTGTCTTTCTACTACCTAAAGCAGTTTTTCCAAAGCATGGTCCTCAGACCAACTGCATCAGCAAATACTCAAGACTGTCCATTAATACTACTGACTCCTGAGTTCCGCACCATACTAAATCAGAATGTCTGGGGCTGCAGATAGGAAACATGTTTTTTTTTTTTTTTTTTTTTTTTTTAACTCTTGGGGAGACTCTTATGTGCTCACTAAACTCTTAAGAAGCACTAACTTAGAATCTATCTATGTATTGGTTTATACTCAGGTTACACAGATTTTAAATAATTCATTAGCACTCTCTTGCTTACTAAGTACTAATCTCAAGTGACTCAGTTCTCTTTCGCCAACCCAATCTCCTCAGACCCTGCTCTATGCCTTTACAGCAGGGCGGGGTGGGGGGGAGCGCACATGAGCACTGGGAGGTGATGTGGATCACAAGTAGAGAGAATTTTTCCAAATCTAAATCTACTCTCACGTTCAGCTCTCTCCGTTGGTTCTGAATTGCCATTTTTAAGGAAGGTTTAATGTCACCATACTAAATTCCCTTCCCTCAAAGGGGTTTAATGAAACAAAATTTTTTAAAGACCACATTTTCACTTCCTCTGTGAAACAAAACGTGGACTTTTAAATGTTTTAAAAACAAAAACTTTCCACATCACCTAGACTGTTAATCTGGAAAGCATACAGCATTGTAAAACCTACTCATTCATTTTTTTCATCCAATTTCACATTTATTTACTAAAAATTACAATGCACTACTCTAAGCTCTAAGACACAGCGGTTAAGATGCCACATAGTGCCCCTGGCTTTCATGAAGCTTACATTCCAATGAAGGCAGCAGGAAAACAATCTGCTTATAGACAGATGCTCTATAAAGAAATCTATAAAAGAGGCAGGTGGTGTGAAAAGTCAGGAAAATGGAGCAGACTAGTGAAGTTAAAATCTACTTGAGGTTTAAACATCATTTGAATTTAAAAACTCAAAACAGGAGACACTCTGGTTAAATAGAAACTTGACTTTCAATCCAGCTTTTACACACAAGGCTTGGGAAGTTGCTTACTCTAACAATTTTTTTTTTAATATTGCTAATTTAAAAGGATGAACTAGAGTGCCTCTAGGAATCATCAAATTAAGACAGAGGTCAGCAAACTAACCAAAACTAACTCCAATCAAATCTAAACCTCTAGCCACAAAACCTTAAATTCAAGGTGTTGATCTTAATTTTAAAAACCTCATGTGGTTTGGGTTCTGGTTACCTTAGAGATTTTTTACTGTTAAGAATGCTGACGGCAATTTAAGACTGGCTGTAACACTTGGCCGATGGTTCACTACTGAAACCTGATGAACTGGAATCCTCTGATTTTGTGTGTCTCTTTTCAGATAGGGTGACCAATCATGCTAGGTCTGACTAGGACCAAAGGGTTTCTTGGGAGCAGCCAGATTTTCATTGCTAATACTGGGAAAGTCCTGGGCAAACCAGGACTGATCACGCTATCTTTGGACGACATTTTAGAAACTGATATTTAAACAGTCACTTTTTCAACTCTGGACTTTGCTGCAACTCTACAGATCTTTAATATGGATCAACTACTAAAAACAACCTTCCCTTCCAATGATCAAAATGACCATTTTCATAAAGAAAAGAGTGTTAATTTCACACACAGTTTTTATCAGGTGGAAGTATTAATTTTTCCCTATAAATTTTATCATTTTAAACATAAAAATTTTGAGCCAAACACTACTTGAAGAACTGTTTAAGAATTCAGATTCACAATTCTTTTAAGAAATAATGCTTCAAAATTACAATGTCTGTTTTTTTTTTTTTTTTTTTTGATGTCTTTAAAGATCAGTTTTGAATTAGTGACAGATTTAACTTGGACAAATCACTCTCAATCTGGCTGAGTAAAAGAAGCCAGTCTACAAAGGCTACGTAATATATGATTCCATTTATGTAACATGCTAGAAGGTAAAACTAAGGCCGGGCGCAGCGGCTCACTCATGTAATACCATCACTTTGGGAGGTTAGGGAGGGCAGATCACGAGGTCAGGAGTTCGAAACCAGCCTGGCCAACAAAAAATTAGCCAGGCGAGGTGGCACATCTGGAGGCTGAGGCAGGAAGGCCGAGGAAGGATAATCACTTAAACCCAGGAGGCAGAGGTTGCAGTGAGCCAAGATCACGCCACTGCACGCCAGCCTGGGCAACAGAGCAAGACTCCACTTGAGAAAAAAAAAAAAGGTAAAACTATAGTGATGGACAACAGATCACTGACAGCCAGCCAGGGATTAGGGGTAGAAGCAGCACAGGTCTATAAAAAGACAGCAAAATAAAGTGATAGACCTGGCCTATATTCTCATGTTGGTGACTAGACAAATACTATGTTAAAATTAACAGAACTGTATACTGAAAAAAAAAAAGTCACTTTCACTACATAATTCTAATGTTTTTTTTTTTAAATCTGTGATTATTTCAAAAATATACAGATTCTATCATTTACTGAGGTACTATGCTATGCCCCCCTCCATATACAGTTTTATTTTCTACTCACCCAATGCTAGGAGATAGTAATTATTATCCCTATATGCGGAAAAGGAAAACTTCAGGCTCTGAGGTTAAATAACATGCCCAAAGCTACACAGTGTAAGGGATGGACCATAATTTCAACACAGATCTGATTCCAAAAGCTATATTCTCAACCACTACAAACCACTACTCTCTCTCATAAATAATCTTGTTCATAAATAACCAACCACTCTGTCCCTCCTAATGACATTAGAAGGCTATTAAGTTTCCTAATTCTATTCTCAACTCAATACATTACTGATAACGTGAAAATAGGGAGAAAAACATGATTCTAGAGCAGCGATGTCCAACTACTTTTCTCCAATAATAGAAATGTTTTGTATTATCTGTGCTGTCCAATATGGTAGCCTCTAGCCACAGGTGGCTACTCAGCACACACTGCTAGTATGACATTAATTGAATTGGACAGCACAGTTCTAGAGAAATAACATGACAAGAATGTACACGCCACAGAAAGAAGCAATTTATTAAATTATGATGGTAACTCACCAACAATAAAAGGAAAACAAGGTGGACATATAATAAAGGAATGAAGCTAAGAAATGCACCACTCCCCAAGCACACAAAACTATCTTTTGAACACCTGCTCACCCTCCAAGATTCAGCTTAAATATCAACCTTATCTACACACCCACAGCACTCTGCACATCTACAGTATAAATTGTGTATTAGGTATCTGTGTTTTTCCCCCCCACTTGACTGTGAGCACCTGAAGGGCAGAGATAGTTATTCATATATGCACCACCAGCATCTAATACCTATACCCAGATGCTTTCTGGAACAATGAACAGTTTTTTTATTCAGTTCTAGTGGGAAAATGATCACTATCTTAGGTCCTTTAACTACAAATTCAATTCTGCAAGTATTCGAGTACCAGAGTACACATAAAAAGAACTCCTGTCCCTCAAACAGCTTACAGTGAGAGTGAGGGATACAAGATATAGGTAGATAAGGCGGGGAACTAGGGGAGGGGCAGCATCGGGTGGGGAGTTGGGAAGGGACAACATGGGGAGAAATGTCAGATATAGGTTATGGGGAGGAAGGCAGCAAACCACACTGTCATGTATGTACCTATGCAACAGTTCACATGTACCCCAAAATCTAAAATGCAATAAAATATATTTAAAAAAAAAAAAAGATATAGGTAGACAAATAACAAGTAAAAAGGGTAATCAGGCCGGACACAGTGGCTCACGTCTGTAATCCCAGCACTTTGGGAGGCCAAGGCTGGCGGATCACGAGGTGAGGGGTTCAACACCAGCCTGGCTAACACGGTGAAACCCCATCTCTACTACAAAACACGAAAAATTCGCCAGGCGTGATGGCACGCACCCGTAGTCCCAGCTACTCAGGGAGGCTGAGGCAGGAGAATCGCTTGAACCTGAGAGGTGGAGGTTGCAGTGAACCAAGACCATGCCACTGCACTCCAGGCTGGGAGACAGAACAAGACTCCGGCTCAAAAAAATAAAGTGTGGGGGTAATCGAAGTTAAGTGTGTACAAATAGTGCTTTAGGTCAGAATAGAAACTGTCAGGAATCAGACTGGTAAGAGAAAACTGAAAAGTGGTTTAAATAGCCATTATCCCATTCTGTAAAGCAAAAGGTGTAAGATAACTTATTGTATCCCAACCTATTATTCAGAAAAGCCTAATGGATTAAAAAACATTTTTAAGTAAGTCTTTAGAAATTTATCCTGCCTTCGTTCACACTACCAATGTCAGGTCTCATCCTATTCCTCATATCACTAAGCTAAAACTAATCTTAGAACAAAATCCTTCCAGATCCAAAATTTCTAAGAAAATTTCACAGCATAAAGAAGTGATGTTTTCTTTACACTTAAATTCTGATCATCCTTAAGTCACAACATCCTCTTTTGGGTTCTCAAAATGTGATAACTGGAATTAGTTTGCATAGTACATCTCATGGTGAGTACACAGACAGCAGCTGGAACTGTCTATTGAAAGTAGTTTGAATTCATTTAATGAGTACCTGTTTTGTTTCCTCTAAAAATCAACAGGAGGCGTGCCACTTTGAGGAATCTAGACACCAAGCATTATCTGTAAAGTATATTATAATACAGAGGTCTGCAAACTAGAAGACTGGCAAAGAGCTCTACAATATAATTTCTTTTGAAAAAAAATCTACCAGCCAATTTTCTTATTTTTATCAGCTTACATATTATTAATGAGAAAGGTCACAGAAATTTGTGAGGTTTTCCTAGACTGAAAGACCTTGGGCTGCTTAATTACTTAAATTCTTTGAGCCTGCTTCCTCAAATTGAAGATTGAGAAGGAAGTGTGACTTGATGCCTTCAGAGAAAAAAAACTGACTCAATTAACTAAGATAATTACTTACAGATTGACTTCAGCATGGCTTTTGGTTCAATCCTAACTCACCTTTAAAATGGAAAAACAGGCCAGGCACAGTGGCTCATCCCTTTAATCCCAGCACTTTGTGAGGCCAAGGCAGGTGGATCACCTGAGGTAGAGCTCGAGACCAGCTTGGCCAACATAGTGAAACCCCATCTCCACTAAAAATACAAAATTATCCAGGCACGGTGGTGGGCTCATGTAATCCCAGTTACTCGGGAGGCTGAGGCAGGACAATTGCTTGAACCCTGGAGGCAGAGGCTGCAGTGAACTGAGATCACGCTGCTGCACTCCAGCCTGGGCGACAGATCGAGGCTTCATCTCTAAATAAATAAATAATAAAGTGGACAAATATGTAACTGTGGCTGCTATTAAACTATGTCCATAATTCTTTGATACTCGTCCCTTGAGTTTGGGCTGGACTTAAGTGACTTGTTTTTAATAGAATATGGCATAAATGATGATGTGTGGCCTCCGCTCTGCTCTTGCTTGAATCACCTGCTCTGGGAGTAGCTAGCCTTCACCATGTTGTGAGGACACTCAAGCAGTCCAATGGAGAACTTTCATCATCAGCCATAGGTGACCTGCCAAATGAGAGCCACCTTGGGATCTCATGAAAAACTCTGGCCCAGAACCACCTAACTAAACTACTCCGAGATTCCTGACCCACAGAAATTACATGAGAAAACACAAGTTTATTGTTTTAAACCACTGAGTTTTGGGTTAATTTGTAACAACAAGAGAATGCACCAGTGTTTTTTAAATAGTGGGTCCTGACTTAGTAGTAGTTGAATACATCAATTTAAGGCAGCAATATCAACATTAAAAATGAAATAGAAGAGAGCAGGGTATATCACTCTTAATACAAGTACTATTTCCTAAAAATTTTGTTAAATTTTATGTAAATGTGTTTCTTACAAGCACAGCTGAAAACATTAAAACCCACAACTCTTAACAAGTAAATTTAAAACAAAAAGCTCCCTAAAGCATAGGGAATCCCTTGAGGGACTCGTCTCAGTAACAACCAACTATAAAACAAACATTTTCTATAAACTTTATGACCTAACCAATCATGTAAGACATCCTCACACTACATCATCTTTTCTGATGTATATGCTAAGCTTCATAACCACCACACAGGACATGGTATCTGCCCTAGATTTTAATGTCTAACACAAAAAAGCACGTCATTTTCCTAATTTTAAGAAGTTACTCAACAGGACTGCCTTCATAAAATTAGTGAAAAATGCTGCTTTGGACTCAAACCACCTTTATCATTTTTTTCTATTACTACTTTTCTTGTCGGTTAAAGGAAACTCCATCTTCAACCTAAGTGCACACACTCACACAAGAGATCAAGTATAGTATTATTAAATTGTTTTCTGCTCACTGTCCAACTCATAATATAGGTCTGCCAACTGGAAGACAGCAAACAGTTCTACAGCTTAACTTCTTTAAAAATAATTTACCTATCCTCTTCAGAACACAAGTAAGTGCATATTTTTGTGGCTGTGTCTTAGAACACAAATCAAAACTTTCAGCAACACCAGACTCTGCAGAATATTCACGTGTAACTTTTGATGAATCCACTCAGATTGCTTGCACTGTGATTTTCTTTGAAGTAAAAAGTGTTAAAAACTACAGATTTCAAAATACCAAAATAAATTGGCACATAATTAAACAGCGATTTAACTCTTTTTCTTTTTAGAGACAGGATCTCTCTCTGTTGCCCAGACTAGGGTACAGTGGTGCGATCATGGCTTACTGCATAACTAATTTTTTTTTCTTTTTTTAACAGATGTAGTTTCCTTATATTGCTCTGGCCAATCTGGAACTCCTGGGCTCAAGAGATCCTTCAGAAAGTCCTGGGATTACAGGTGTGAGCCACCACGCCCAGCCTTTTTATTTCTTTTATTTTTTGAGATAAGAGTCTCACTCTCACACTGTTGCCCAGGCTGGAGTGCAGTGGCGAGATCTCGGCTGGCTGCAACCTCCGCCTCCCAGGTTCAAGTGATTCTCCTGCCTCAACCTCCAGAGTGGCTGAGATGACAAGCGCCCGCCACCACGCCCAGCTAATTTTTTGTATTTTTAGTAGGGACAGGGTTTCACCATGTAGCGCAGGCTGGTCTTGAACTCCTGACCTCGTGATTCGCCTGCCTCCGCCTCCCAAAGTGTTGGGATTACAGGCATGAGTCACCGTGCCCGGCCTATTTTTCTTATTACTGTACTAGTGACATTCGTGGCTCTCTCAAAAAGAGACTTACTAGACAACTGACGTTTCCCTTGGCCCTATCCTGAAATACACTAGCTCTTCTCTGCTAGGGCTACTGTTTTTTCCCAACATTTGCACATTTATGTATCCATCTAAATGTTTCTATTTCAACAAGCTGTAAAAAACATACAGTCTGTATAGCTCTCCTCATAATGCTATTAGTTGATGATTGTGACTGCAAGTTGGAATAATGTGCATACTTGGCAAAATTCAAGTGTGGCTGCATATGTCTGGAGAAAATAAGCAGCAAACCAGCCCAGTCCTAAACTCCAGTAGCAGCTCTTGAAGAGAATAGACGCTCTTGATAAGGCTTTCTTTAGGGTTGATACTCAGTTTCTGGGCTTACCCCTGGGTTTATTTCTATAAGCAAACCTATATAGAGTGTAGCACTAGGAAATACTCAGTGATCTTAAAAATAAGCATACTTTGACTCAAGACCAATTACTATATACATAGGCAAATTTCTGCCCAATAGTCTCAAGTTTAGCATTAGTTTTGCCCATTTTTTCTTTCTTAAAAGTTTCATTCTTCACATGACCACTTCCACCGACGTAAGGTTGAAAATTTTTACAAAGTCCAAAAGAATTAAGATTATCTACAGATCTCTAATTATGATTCTCTACAAAACAACCAAAATCATTTTAGTCCCCTAATAAGATGAGACAGACCTCACTCAAGCCAACCCAAGGAACCAGGAATGCCCATCTGAAGGCTAACTTTGATGTTTCAGTGATAGCGGTGCACTGGGATACTATTTAGATCAGGGTCAGAATTTGGTTTTGTAGGCAGACATTTACCCACTAAAGTCATTTATCTAGCTGATCAAAAAACAGGAAAGTACAAGACAAGTATACACTGAATCTACCAGTGAAGCTATACAGCTGCTTATTTTGTCTTCAAAGAATTAATCATCAGTACCTGCAGGTATAACTGGATTGCTAAATCAAACTCAGATTTTTAGGAGGGACACTTCTACGTATTAAACTGTCTTAAGAGAGTAAGCTTCCCTTAAATGATTTGCAAACTATGTGCCAGGCATTCATTGCGCTAGTGGTCTGGCTGTCAACCAAAATCGGTTAGACATCATAACCAGGTTAGCATACCTTGAAAAGAGAGTATCCTGAAACTACTGCCTCCATTTCCTTAGGAATAAAGCCATATCCATATCCTTCCCAAATCTCAAAAACTCCTACATGTGTAAAAGAAGAAATCATTAAATTCTAGTCCTCAAAGAACTAAACTGTACTTCCCCAAAAAAGACATGAATCCTAGAAAAATGGCAACAACCAAAAAGTAAACTTTAAAATGTTAAATATGACCATCAGGAAATTCTAACTTCCCTGCCATGTTTGCATGTTTCAGGATCTCTCAGTTAAAAAGATGTTCCACACCTCTAAATCTAACAGAATAGCCAACTCTGAAATCCACACCTCAAACACCAAAACCTAACAGGAGAATAAATTCTTAACATGCGTTAGACTTTCATTTTTTGGGGTGGACCAAAACTTCAAAAACAAAAACCCAGCTGCTGAAATAACCATCAAATTCAACCCTGACAGAAAGATCTGACATCACTCAACTAGTCTCTGCAAGGAAAAGGAAGCACCTCTACCTCTATGCACAATACAGGAATCTGTACTTCACCATGACTTTCAATTACCATTGGTGATAAAAAGATAACTGGTTTACAGTATCTCCCCAGTTCTGAAGGCCACTCCATTTCAAGATTAAAACTGAAACACGGAAGGTCCAGGGACAAAGGTAAGGGCCAAGAGATCTCGAGCAGAGGCCCTCCATCCCTACCGCGAACACCTCAAGGACTTGTCCTACCTAAATACTTTATGTAAACAAGGGGCTTGTGACTCGAGCCTCCAGCCCCAATAGGTGGAGAGAAGTTTCCTCGCCTCGCCTGCACATGGTCTGCAGAAGTTTGGCTGGAGCAGAGCGCGAAGCCTGGGTGGGAGCGGCAGTGGAGTGCTGCAGGCGGCGGCGGCGGCGGCAGAGCAGCAGGAGGCGGAGGCGGGCGGGGGGAGGGGAGCGGCTGGGGGGGCGGGAGGGGGCTCTTGCCGCCACTGCTCTCTCGCCGCCTCTCCCCCCCGGCGGGAGCCGCTCGCAGCCTCTTTGCACTAGTCTCTCCGCTCTCTCGGTCATGTGACCTTAACGTAACCGGACAGGAAAAGCCCCGCCGCCGCCGCCGCCGCCGCGCCGGAGACACCGACCGCGGCGGCAGCAGCAGCAGCAGCAGCGAGAGGCAGAGGCGGCGGCGGCGGGGAGGACAGCACGGCCGAGGCTGCCCAGCGGCGCCTCCTCCACACCCCCCGCCGCAGCAGCACCGGCGACAGGTAAGCGCGCACCGCCTCCGCCTACCGGGGCCGGTGCCCACGTGCCACCCCCGGCCCAGGCTCCGGGAAGGCGGAGGGGGGGCGGGGGCCACCGGAGCTCGCAAACGGTTCCGACAGCGGCGGTGGCAACAAAGACGACGAATGACCCGCGTCCCAGAGCTCCGGGTGCAGGCAGGCGGAGGGCCTGGGCCACTCGGGGACCCGGTTCTGGGAAGCGAGGGCAGGGGCGCCTCGTGGGGGCGGCGGCGGCTGCGCCTGGCGCCGGGGCTCTGGCCGCCTGACAAAACCATCCCCCGGAGCCAGGCGGCGGCGAGTCGGCGGCGGCTCCATCCGGGGCCTTGCGGGGGGAGGGGACGGAAGCCGAGAGGGCGGGCGGCAGATCGGAGGGAGGGAGGGAGGAAGGGGAGGGGGGCGATTCGCGTTCCGTTCCCCGTGGCCGGTCCCTCCCTTCCCGCCGCCACCGCGAAGTGCGTCCCAGGCGGCGGCGGCCGGTGAGCGTCCCGCGCTGGAGTCCTGGGAGGCGGGCCCGTCAGGTGCGTAATCCTTCCGACGCCTCGCTGCCGCCTCCTGCTGCTACCGCCGCTGCTGCTTCGGCGGCAAGGCCGCGAGCTGCGGAAGTGGGTTTGGGGGAGGGGAGGGAGAAGGAAGGGGGAGGGGAGGGATCCGGTCCGACCGGAGCAGGCCCGGCCTCTCTGGCGCTTCTCCCAGCTGCAGCGGCTCCTACAGCTGCTGCCGCTACTGCTGCGGCTCCGCCTCCCGCTCGCGGGCGGGGGCGCGCACGCGCGCTTCCGGCCTCCTCGGGTCTCGCGCTGTCTCCGGCTCTCGCGCGCGCTCATACTCTCTCCCTGTCTGGGCCACCCCCGCCCCCGGCGCCGGGGCTGTTGCGCCGGCGGGGCGTTGCGCACGGCGTAGGCGTCGGCATTGTGTTAAACTCCGCGGGACTTGGGACGAGCGGGCACGCGCACGCGGGACTGATGGAAGCGGCGAGCGTGCGCCGCGGCCGGAGTGCGTAGCCCCTCCCTCGCCTCAGCCCCTCGGGGACGGGGACGGGGGCGGGGCCGGCGAGACCGGAGGGGCCCAAAGGGCCCCGGAGCCGCGCCCCGGCCCCGCCCCTGGCTGGCCCACGCCCCCTGGGGCGGGTGGGGCGATGTGGCCGTTGCGGCGCGCTGGGGCGGGTGAGGGACGCGTCGGCCTCTGTGGCGCCGCCCTTGTCGCCCGCTTGCCCCAGCCCCGGGTGCTGAGCGCCTAGAGCCGACGGCCTGGAGCTTCCGCCCAACGCGCGATCTGCGCCTGCGATAAGGCCCGGGCTGGCCTGGAGCGCGCTGTGGTTTCGGCTGCTTAGCCTCGGGGCGTGGGACCTGTGCGGCCCTCACGCCTCGGCCGGGCTCCGAGGCGGGGAGGCTGCCTCTCCGGGTCGACGTCGTTTTCTCAGTGCAGCGAAACCCTTAAACCATTCTTGTTTAAACAAAGCCGCAAGAGAGAACTGTTTAGCCAGAAGCTGCAAAGGAAGTTGGGTTAATGCCGCTTTTAGCTGGTAGTAAAAAAGGCAGTAAAGAAGCCAGGGTAGCAGAGCAGGCGAGTGCCTGGGCCGGGGGAAGATGCAGCCACGCCTTTTACTGCAGGAACTTCCACCCGAAGACACGAACTCCTAATTATGCCTTGGGAATATAACCTGGCTCTCGCTTCCCGCCCCCACCAGCTGCATTGTTCATTAGCTCTTTCATCATACAGTGGGCCCACTGAGTTTGTGAGTCTTGATTCTATTCATTTTCCGCACAGTATTGTTTTAGTAAAATAAAGCGTAAAGGAGGTCAGAATTACCAGAACTCCAGGGGGCTCTGGGTTTACAGAAGCGTGCTGCCCTGTCCTTGCTAATGTAAAGCATCTGTACAGACCCTGTTGGAGCGCCAGGGCGAGATGTCCGCACTATTAGCGTTGTACTGTGAGAGCCCCATGAAAGTTACAGAACTGGAACTTTGCAATTTTAATTCTCGTTTGTCTAATTTATCACAAACCAAAATTAAATTGGTAAGGTAAATTTCACTGCATTCTGAATGATCTTGGTGTGTATCCAGGATGTTTTCAAACTGTTTTGGGGTTTTTGTTGAGATGGAGTCTTACTCTGTCACCCAGGCTGGAGTGCAGTGGCGTGGTCTCGGCGCACTGTAGCCTGCACCTGCCAGGTTCAAGCGATTCTCCTGCCTCAGCCTCCTGAATAGCTGGGATTACAGGCGTACGCCACCACACCCGGCTAATTTTTGTATTTTTAGTAGAGACGAGGTTTCACCATGTTGGTTAGGCTGGTCTCGAACTCCTAACCTCGGGAACTGCCCACCTCAGTCTCCCAAAGTGCTGGAGTTACAGGCGTGAGCAACCACACCTAGCCAAGAAGGTAATTTTTAAGAGCATTAATTTACCACTAGTAGTATATCCTCTTAAACTGGGCGTTTCTCATTTAATAAACTTGTGGTTTATTTGCTAGACAAAGAATTGGTCGGTTACTGAAGCCATCGTAAGTACAAAAAGTGATATGCCAGGTCCACTGATAGTCAACAATGAAGGAGTAGTCTACACTACAGTGGAGTGTAACCGACACCCCTAAAACTTTGTCCTACAGTCCAAGTGCATACTTGCCAGTTTTCAAGCTTCTTTGCAAAGAGGATGCTCAGCAAACTACCACCAGCAGCAGAGAATAAATACTAAGCGTGTTTTCAGTTACAGAATAAAAGCTGCCACGGTGACACCTGCTTTTTTATCTTAAACTTTACTGTGAACTTTTCAGTAACCTCCAAAATCTGCACTTTTTAGAAAAATATGTTCATGGCCAGGCACAGTGGCACACACCTATAATCCCAGCACTTTGGGCGGCCAAGTCTGGAGGATTGCTTGAAGCCAAGAGTTCAAGACCAACCTGGGTAACATAGACCCCCATCTCTATTTAAAAAAAAAAAAAAAAAAAAAGAAAGAAAATGTATTCACCCCAACCCTATAAAAAGATGTAATTTGTAATCCTGTGATTTCACGTTCACATGGCATGTCCCAGAGTAAGTGGATGTGCTTTCCCCAATTTGAGAATTACCAAAATAGAGAAGGAAACATCTAAAGCTCTTCTGCAGCATTGGCCTGGGATCAGCTGCTTTAGAGATGGCGACTGTCCTGCCAGCTTACTGTTTCTTGGAGCTTCATCCCTACCCCCGCTAACCTTTCCCTGTAGGAATTTGGAAAAGCTGGGAAAGTCCTGTGGCACCAGGCTGCATAGGAAAGGAAGATTGAAAGAACTGGTTTGCTAGTGGTTTTTTACCATAAAATACCAGCTGCACCTGGCAGAGGTCATTTATCATCACTTTTCCTATTTTCTTAGGCTCTTTGAGTCTCCAAACATGACCCTGAAAACCTAAAATGGAGCTGAACATTTTTATTTCCCTGAAGAAAAAAAAAATGTAAACATTCTAAGCCTCAAACCTAGAATACTTCTAAAACCTTCTTTATGCTCAAGTACATTATAATTTTTACTAGCAAATTAAACTATTAAATAATTAAAATACTACTTTGAATTGATAGTAAATAAGATTCAGTATTTTTACAATGCTGATAGAGCCATTCAGATATGGAATCAGTAGCCATAGAACCCTTACAAGGAGTTGGCAGCACAAGACATGTAGATCCATTTTAGAAGCCAATTCGGAGGCTCATATTTATGCTCAAACTCATAATCCCCAGTTCACATGCTTGAGATATATACATCACATGCCTTTGAGTGTCACTTTAAGAAAGTTCAGTGTTCAAAGATAGGGAATTTGAAAAACACTTGTATGTATCTGGCTAAGTACTTAGGGAAACGACTTTTTTACTTTTGTGAGAGAGTTTAGTACACTCTTCTCTTAATGGTGTGCCCCTCTAAGTTCTGCACCAAGCAGGGTAAGCATCAGAATCCTCTGAAATGATTTCAAAGTGTGCATGTTCTCTTGCACCAGGATAATCATTTAGGTTTTTCTGAGTCCCTAAAATGATTGTGAACGGCGGTTGTCTAAGTGTGGCCTGCAGATCCTTTTGAAGCCCCAAGATCCTTTGAGGATTCAATAGGGTCAAAACTATTGTCACAGTAATATAATCTAAGTTGTTATGGTCTTTTCCGCTGTGTTGACTATATGTGTTGACACTGAGAAGATCTGCTTAATTCAGTGAGCCGATATTTTCCAAATGACCAATGGATGATGTCAAAAATCATGAGTGGAGGCTGGGCGTGGTGGCTCACGCTTGTAATCCCAGCACTTTGGGAGAATGAGGAGGGCAGATCACAAGGTCAGGAGATTGAGACCATCCTGGCCAATGTGGTGAAACCGTGTCTCTACTAAAAATACAAAAATTAGCTGGGCGTGGTGGCTTGTGCCCGTAATCCCAGCTACTCAGGAGGCTGAGGCAGCAAAATCACTTGAACCTGGGAGGCGGAGGTTGCAGTGAGCCAAGATTGCACCACTGCACTCCAGCCTGGTGACAGAGCAGGACTCCATCTCAAAAAAAAAAAAAAAAATCATGAGTGGGTAAATTATCTATTGAAAGTGGTTAGACGAATGAATTTTACTGTAATAGAGTAGGAAAAGTTATTATCTAGTTCTATACTGCACAACCAACTTTTAAGAAAGTTCCACTTGTCAAGTTTTGGTGTAATATCAAAGAAGACTATTCACAATTACCTGAAAAGACTATTAAAATACTTCTCCTTTTTCCAACTACATGGGTAGGCGAGGCTGGATTTTCTCCAATACTCAACCAAAACTGAGTAAGTTGAGGAGTAAATACAAGATCCAGTTGTCTTCTGTTAAAGAGAATTACAAAAATATAAAAAGACACCATTTTGTTGTTTTAGAAAATATAATTATTTTTTCATAAAAATGTTCTGTACATTAACATGTAATGGGTTTATTGTTTTTAACTGAATTAAATATTTCTAAAATTTCTCCATTTTAATTTCTAATATAGTAAATATCAATAGTTAAAAT